CTTAAAGTTTCAGTTACATTGCTGGCCCTTAACTTTGCAGTTGTGAATATGTATATGTCACCAATCTGTGATAAAATGCACTAGGACAGGCCTGTTATTTTGGGGAGCTAGTTTATTAATGCAATTTCTTTATAAGCAAACATTTTCTAAAAAGTGATTAAGATTTTCATTTAAAATATTAGCATTGTCCCTTATTTTCATTTCCATTGATTGTTATGCTGTTTGTTGATTGTGACAAACAAAAGTGTCTGAGTTGTGGGCATTCTAATTACATGTGATTCACATGTGCTGTGGCGGTAATGCAATGTACCCATTTGTATAATTGTCCCCATTTAACATGCAGAGATATATTTTTAAATGACTATTGCAGAGCTACAGACTCTCCAAATAATATGACATTTATTTACTAATGTGCATCTGTATAAGTATTTATAATAGATGAATATATAAATCTATCTTTTGCACCTATTGACCAATCTGTTGAGAGGAAGAGGAGGAAGAGAAGGAGGAGGGGAAGTTGTTTTTTGTCTAATAACACAATTAAAATATCTGAGAGTCATTAATATGAAAAAATGATTTTATCAGACACACTTTAGGATGTTTTTATTACAGTTTTTTATTATTCCAAAATATGGCAATAATGAATTTAATCCTCTGAAGAATTTTAGAGAACCTCTGAAGAATTGCAGTTATAACTCAATAGAACACAGTTTGAAAACTAATGGTTTAGCTGAAGGTCTTTATTTCTTTTAAAATGCAAATATCTCTACTTTCATCTGCAATCAGTCATTTATACATTAATGTGAATAAATTTATTAGACATCTTGCTGAGGCTTAGATTTAATGCAGAAGAGGGGGCAGCAAAGATGAACTCAGCAACTGAAACAAATGGGAAAGATTGACTATTAAGGCTAAGAGCACTGGAAATGTACCTGGCCTACCTTACAATTTTTCTTAAAGATCTGCTCTCTCTATATAATAAACTCATTTGTATTCCAAAGAGAGAGAGGGAGAGAGGGAGGAAGAGGGAGAGAGTGAGAGAGAGAGAAAGAGAGAGAGAAAGAGAGAGAGAGAGAGAGAGAACAACAAAAGACAAACCCATTAAGAAAATGTCTATTGCCTTGACTGATATGGCTCAATAGGTTAAGCGCCATCCCACAAACCAAAAGGTTGCCAGTTGGAGGATTCTCGGTCAGGGCAGATGCCTGGATTGCAGGCAAGGTCCGTGGAGGGGGGCTTGCAAAAGGCAACTGGTGGATGTTTTCCTCCCTCTCTTTTCTCCCTCCATTCCCCTCTCTCTAGAAATAAATAATATCTTTTTAAAAAGCACATTGAATTAGATGAGTGTGAATGTGAATATGTTTCAAAATTATATCCAACTGTTTTAAAGTATTTTTCAGGAACAATAATGTAATTAAATGAATTACTTATAATTTTGGTCAATTTGAATTAAGTCAGGCACAGAATTTCCAACGAGTGAATTTCTTAATTGTAGATACTCTGGTTTTCTTCTGTAAGTGTCCTCAAAGGTGCAAGAACATTTATTGTGCAGGAGTCCCAGATCATGTACAGCATAATATAAATGAGAATTTAATGCTCCAAACTTAATCCCATACCTTTGGTCTATGACATATTTTTTAATTTAAAAAAATCCTGTAATTTTTTCTCAGTTAAAATCCTTCTACTAAATAAAATAATTTATCTTTATTACAAAACCTAGTTACACATGAATTCTCTACTCTCTCCTCATCTTCCTCATCACCGAAAGCTTTCAAAAGTTTATGGGGACAAGAATCCATTCCAATATAGTAAAAATTTAGTTTAAACTTCAAGAGTTTCATAAAGGCCTAACAGAAAAATTGTCAGTTAATATTTTGAAAAAGTGATCCTGAAAAAAAAGAAAGTTATGCTATTCAATTTTTCATTTTTTTACTAATATGGCAAAATATATTAATTTGAAAGTAGGTTAAAGAAACATGCGGGATTAGAATTGTATTTTTCACATTTCATTCTAAAGTCAATACTTGGAATCATTTTTGTGTAAATTTGAAAATATATTTAGATTTAAAATGCTGATGGACACTGACATTAATTGGTGTTTTCATGAAACTGAAAACAAAATCAAATAATAGAAACATTTACCACTTAGAAAAAGGGTACACACAGATTTTAAATTGTAAATTTTACTCCTCACTATCAAGTACAACATTAATAATTAACAAAATAAATTTGAAATCAAAACTTTGAATCTTTGGAGATATTTAGAAAGTAGAGATATTTTCCACCATTCTGTTGCAAAATATATTAAAATAAAAAGATTTTCTTGACACATTTAATTAAAAAGAAAAACTGATTAATATATAATAATCTACTTTTTATGCTCAGCTGATGAGGTCATTTTCATCAATGAAATTATGCTTATCTTGATATAAAACTAGACCCAAACTATAAGCATAGTTGCATAAAAGAGGGAACAAAAAAATGAACTCAAATTACTTATAGACATGCTTTTGTTGCTGCTCACACAATGACCTTCAAAAACTTCTACTGTTTTTCTCCATGTTTCTGCTGAGAGTAAGTGTTCTTAAGTCATAAACCCTGTAGGTTTCCAATTTCTTCTTTCGCAAGTTTAGGAAAACTAGATCCTAATAGTTCTAGAATAGACCGCCAGAAGATAGCATGGGAAGAGATACTTTTTTCCTACAGTTATGAGCACTGATAGTCTATGGGAATAGTTCTGGGTGATTTATCTGTGCATTATTCTAAATGTGTATTCTTGAAGAAAGCAGACAGAGCCAAAGAGTGAGGCCACTAAATGGTATGTCTGCAGTAGCTGCATAGGGTGTATACACACTTGTTTGGTAAAGCATAGCTATGAGCCTTTGAACTTGAATAGCCCAGTGGGTGAAGAGTGGGTAGTTAAGCACTGAGAATCACTTCAGATATGAGACTGTGATATCTATGTGCAAAGAACATGGCAAGTACTACTGTGTAGAGACTAAATGAAAAAATAACCCTGGAAATTAGTATATATAATATTTAAAACTTTTAAAATTACTACATAATATACACATACTGATTGCCTCCCTAAGGAGAGTCAAGCTTTTTCACTTTGTTTAGTATGGTCCTTGAACTAATTTTAATACTTAGAAATTTATATTTAAATATAAATACAATATGAACAACAATCACTCTTAGAAATTAATAAGTATGCGTAATTCCTTTCATTTTAAAATTCATATGCACTTATCTACTCATTTTCTATGTAGTTTTCCCTTAAAAAAACATTTTTTCCATGTTTTCATATACTTCTATTCATTATGAGTATAAAGTATTTTAATTAATTTTGTCTAAATTTGCTTGTACTAAATTACACCACTTCTGAAATAAGTCAATCAGAGAAAAAGACAAATACCATATGATTTAACTTATATGTAGAATCTAAAGAACAAAATAAATGAACAAACAAAAGTGAAACAGACTCATAAACACAGAAAGAGACCTGACAGCTGTCAGAGGGGAGGGGGGTTAGGGGGACTGGGTGAAAGAAGTGAAGAAATTAACAACTACAAATCAAGTGACAAAATAGTTACAAAATAGTCACAGGGATATAAAGGACATCATAGAGAATAGAGTCAATAATATTGTAATGACTATATATGTGCCAGGTTACTGGAAATATAGGGAGGAACACTTTGTAAAATATATGATTGTCTAACAACTAGGTTGTACACCTGAATCCAATACAAAATAATATTGAAAGTAAACAGTAATTTAACAGTTAAATTAAATAAATAAATTACATTACTTTTCAAGGTCTACCTCTTTAAGATTACCTACACATTTAAGGGGCATCAAAAGCTTCTGCCATAAACCCTTCTTTCAAGAGGATACCTAATAATTTATCCATCAATCTTTGTCATCCTTGCAGTCACCAAATTCCACATAACAGAAGTTACTACCTACTACTGAAACTTGCATCAGAAACCTCAAGACATCAGAACATAAAGCTATTTCCTTTCACCATCTTTGCCTACCGACCGCCCACATTTTTTTTTAATTTTATTTTAATTTATTTTTTCAAATACATTTGCCCCATTTTATTTATTAAAAAATATACTCATTATTTCATTGGGCCCATAATATGGCTATAACAACTTCACATTTTTTCTTTACATTGAACTCGGCCCATATGTTTTCTCAGATACCTGAATGTCATCAGTGGTATTAGGTAGATTCTGGAAGATAAAGAAATACTACAGACAATACATATCAATCATTTGGACGTGATTAATGATTAGAAAACTATCAATTTGATATTTTTGTTTATAAAATCTATTGACGAAAGTTGGTTGCCACGTCCCCACGTGAGATCTATTATAACGGAGTTGAGAATTCCGAGCCAGAGCCGTCCCACTGCGTTTTGTTAGCCCTTTGTCCTCTGTTTCCCAAGTTTCCTAATTGTTGTTCTTAAATTTCTGGAACAATAGCAGCAGGTAACTAAAATCTATTGTGGGATATTTAAACATGCTCTCATACACGAAATGTAGAACAATAGCTTAATATAAGATACTTCATTGTCACAGCCTGACTGATTAAAGAAAGAATAAAATACCTCACAACACAACCTTGGAAAAGACTTAATGAGGTTCTTGTGAGGGCCACTCAAACATTATGACCCAAACGATCACATTCCAGAATTTAATGTATAATAGATACTACATTATTTTCCACTAACATCCATGTGTATTTGTTTTCTGTGGAAAGATATATATCCAAAGGAAAATAAAGGTGAAAAAAGTGCATTAATATTATAGCCAGGTTATATATGATTGTAGAGTCTATTATGATATAATTTAGTCATACATGCCTATCTGATATTATGAAAAATAAAACTGTATAAGTATATAGACTATAATGCAATGGAAAACTCTTTAATTTTAATGTAACCTTCCAAAGAAGATTAAGAGAAATGTAACAAATCATGTTAGAAAACCTACCTTGACTTGCAAACTTCAACTCTTTGGCATCTGTGAGTGTGGTCCTTTTGTCTGCCCCTTTTTTCTCTATCCGGCGGTGGCTTCTTCTCTTTTTAGATTCTCCCCAAAGATTGGATCCTCCATGCATGCTTGGTATATTCAAAATAGCAATTCCTTCCAGAGAGATGTTGATTAAATCTATCTGTACTCCATCACACTGATCAGTATAAAAAAAAAAAAAGAACACACACAGTAAGATATTTTATCCTTCTTTCCTTGGTTTCTCCTTTTGCATTTCTTTATCTTATAATAAGAACTTTAAAACCCATACCTTTTCTTTTCTAAATAAACTTTTCAAGAACACTTAAATTGTTACCCTAAATGTCAATGTAAATAGAAAGCAGATGCTAACATTAACCAGTTATTATTCATAGTCTTTAAAATTGATCGAATTGAAAGTCCGTGTCTCTTTGTTTACAGAAAATCTTTGGGAAGGAGACAAGTTAGTATCTGCATATATAACACGTTATCAATTTCCACTGTGTTACAAATATGTTGGTTCTGGGAAGTAGGGTCAAATTTTAGATCAAAATATTAATGATTGCCTCTTACTTAGAACACACTACAAAGCAATATTAGGGGGAAATGAAAAAACAGAATTCATAATTCACGGTCTTACTTCTTGGGCAGAGAAAGAAGTGGCTTAAAAGACTTTTGAAAAAAGAAAAAGTACAAAACAGCAATTGCAAGAGGTCTGAATTACATTAGAATGGCCAGGGATGATTTTTTGGTCTAGATTAAGTTCCAAGTAATTACATTAAAGGCAATGAGAGGCACAGTTGTCTAAATGAATATGGAGGATGAGGCAGGCTGAGGAGGGAAATGCCAAGGGTAGCAAGAAACGTAATCATTAACCATTCATTACTCTATAGCTGCTGTAAAAATAAATTAAAATATAAAAACCATTAACCAGGTGAATATTTTGTTTGAAAAAACATGAAACTTGCTAATAGACTATGCTTTTTGACATTCACTTTTTAAGTTTTTTGAATTTTCTGTTCGTTTCCACTGATGGACAGGTGCAGAGAATAGCAAGGCTACACTGTATTTTTGGAGTTGCCTGTTTGGAGTTTTCTAAAATGGTACTAATTGCAAACATATCTCAGACAGTGTCCTCCAATATTCAGTTATAAGTCAATACAAGAACAGAGATGTAAACATACAACAGTTTGTTTTACAAAGAATTTTGTTAGGGGTCTGTATTTCATAACTTGAAGAATATCTGCAGTGAGATTGTTTTATGTGTCATGTGCTATTACAGAAAAAAATCATTGATAGTAACTGTATCATTCTCTTTCTCATGGGATTCTTGACTTCTGAACGTAAGAGATAACACTGCCCCAAAATGATAAAAACAAAAACCAAACAAATAGCAAACCTTTTTCCCCCGGCATTCTCCTAATCATACTGAACCTTAAACTGCATCTTGTTCACTAAAATATAAAAACTGTGAAATAAAGCATCATATCTTGAGCCTACTTGGCAGGGCTAGAAACAAATTCTAGAGAAGGTGCCAAGTTTTCATTCAATTTGTTTCGGTGAGGGTGAAACGAAGGTCTGGATGATGCCATTTCTCCCCCCCAGAAACAAGTGATTTTTTTCCTCCCTTTTCATGTATTAAATTAAGATGATTTCTTTTTACTAAAGAATTCTACTCATGTGTATACTCACTTACCGCTATATATTCTAGATAAACAGATATTAATTTCATAATTAAAAGTAATCTTGTGTAAATACCCTGCAGGCCTCAATGAATCAAACACACACTGTGTGTCAGGCCTCCCACTGTCTTCAAGTGGAATGTACTGGCTGGATAATTAGATAGTACATATTTTTTAACCTTATTTGCATGCATATTATATCTTTTGCACACTGACAAGCAGCAGTAACAACAAAAGTCAGATTACCACAGGGAATTCCCACAAAGAAGTCTTCATTCCTTATAATTTGCAGCCTAAATTAAAATAATTTGATCTTTGACAAGGATGAAATGTCAAGCAGAAGGGGGTCCCCTACAAGCCATGGCCTGTGGCTTCTGAAATCTGCCTAATTTATGTCAGTCACTTCTTAATACATATTTAAGTATTACACGAAAAAGATGATAAATATGCAATCTGACACCTTTGGTATTTCCCTGCTGTTAATTTATAAAGGTCTGGTTTCCCCCAAACTGACTAAAATCATTTAAATAACAGAAGAATTGGAAAATAAACTGGAGTTGGGGCCTGGCTTCCATTTTCACTCAATATTGAACACAGCAGGTAGTGCACTAAGACAATTATTTGACTAGGCCTTAGAGCCCCACTGTGACAAGTTACTTTCAGAATTAGTGAAGGAGTATTCCTTTGTTCCTCTGCAAATAGGCTTTGAGAAAATGGAACTGGGGAGCTCCATGTGACAATTGAAAAACATCAGCGTATACTGTTATTCATGTTTTCAATCTTCAGAGTCCTGGCACATGCAGTTTCAAGGAAACGGATTAAGTAGCTCTCTAAAAAGTGAAAAAAACATTCTTAAGAAGGCCCCCAAAAGAAGGCCTCATGAAGAACCCTAAGGTTCCTAGGAGAGGAGGGAGGCGTTCTTACATAATTTGTTCTTTATTAATGATATGTTTCCACTAGTTCTTGACCCCAGGTTACCTTCCTCTGTTTGCTTTAACATTATGTTCGTTGGTCTGGACAATTTCAGGGCTTGCTCTGATGGACACCAGGAATTGTCTGATGCACCCCCGGTGCAGGGCATGGAAGTAAAAGCTGAGGTGAGGGCCATGAAATGTAAACAAGTTACAATACTGTGTTAGATAATATTTTCATCCGCTTTGAAGATTTATGATTTTTAAAAAGGTAGCTACAGAGGAAAAGAATATAAAAGCTTAAAAGCTAGCAGCCTCAGTTAGTCAATAAATCTTGAATATTTTTATCATGTAGAAAAAGGTCGTTAACGTGTAGTGCTAGAGGAGCTATTTGCCAAGTGTGATGCTGTGATGCCGCTGTCCACTCTGTTCAGTTTTATAGGGAAGATCTTATTCTAGAGACAGTTTCCTAAAAGAAGAAAAGATGGTTTAAATTTGTTTGCCAATGTATTTTAATCCTGGTTTACAAACGTACCCTGGACCATACTATACAGAGGTGTTACGGACAAGCTTTTGCATGTGAATTAATTGTCTTAGATTCAGTTAGCATGTCACTTGATAGGAAAATTCAAGAAATGTGAAGAATACCTATGAGCTGTAAATATGGATAATAAATTTGCTGAGGTAAAATTAACTATAAACTGTAAATATATTTTTCATAGTGAGTCTAATTTTATGCTGAGGTCAGATAAAAATTATTCATATTTTGCTCAATAAAACATAAGAACATTGCTTTATTCATTGTATAAAAGAGCGTGGAATAAAATGACTTATCTAGTTATGCTTTTAGAAGAGTTTCTGCCAACTCATAGTTAATTTATAAAACAAAATTATGTTTTTGCTGAAAACTACAGCAGCAGAACTATAAATTAAAATATACCCATATATGAAATGCCTTAACAATATCTCTTCTGATATTTGAAGGTTGAGGCACTCTGTATTTTCCTGCTAAATAAACTCTATGTTTTTTAAAAATACATTTTATAAGTTTTATCTACCAAAAAACAGTGTGATAGAGGGGCTCAGAACATGCCTGTTGGGTAACTGTAGTATTATCGCTGATTCAAGATATCAAGCATTGACCATAGTATTAACAGTTAACAGAAAAAACAGTTTGGTTTCACATTTTTTCTTTTTTAGAAGATTATGTGGAAGCTAGAAATTATTGCTGGGATATTAGAACTCTTACCCAAAGTTATCTTACTAAAAATAACTCCTGGTAAACACAGAACTTTCAGGTTTGGGTGTTCACTCATTTTATTGCACATTTCCTCCCACTCTCTTCACTAAGAAAATTGATATCGCTATCTTAATGAAGTGATAATGCTATGCCTCATTCTCACCACATTTCTTGTTCTTTTCTGGAATAAGGAGATATTTTTTGTTTTGGACTTAATGAGGCCACTTTTGGTTTCCTATTTCCATCTTTGTTGATGTTCGACTGTATGTCTTCATCACTGCTTCTGGAATTTCATTCTCCCCCCGCCCCCCAAAAAAGAAAATCGCCTGGGAATCTTTAGAAGAGAGGGTAGATCTTTAAAATCGTCTCCTTCTCCCTCTTCCTCTTCCTCCTCTTCTTCTCCCTCTTCTCCTTCCCCTTCTCCTCCTCCTCCTCCTCCTCCTCCTCCTCCTCCTCCTCTCTCTCTCTCTCTCTCTCTCACACACACACACACACACACACACGCACGCACGCACACACACACACACACACACAAAGGGGGCAGGGATAAATTTGGGAGCTGATGGATATGTTGATGGCATGGAATGTGGGGATGGTTCCATAGTAATATGCTTATTTCCAAACTCATAAGTTGTATACATTAAGTATGTACATCTTTTTTTCAATGTCAGCCATGCCTCAACAAAGTGATTTAAAAAAACTCAAAAGAATATCCTTTCAAAGGTTTCATTACCCTACCTGATGATAGTGTTTTGGTAGGGCTAAGACTAGATGAAGGTCCTCTAAATGCATGTTGAAAGAGCATCCAGGATGACTCTGATGCAGGTGGGGCGCAGACCAAGTTGGGAAACTTGACCCTGTTACCTGTAAGAGCTGTGTTTCCAGGTTACTGAGCAACAATAAGAATCTTATCTGTTGAAACTTGCTAATTTATTTATGTATCTGACACTCTTATTGCCCTTTATTAAATTTTGAGATCATTTAAGGCTTTATAGAAGTTCTTAATCTTTCAGACAAATCTCAGTATTTTGGGATGGACATTCTTAGCCTTAACACTTACCATCCTTCCTAGTCTCACTGACAACCAAAAGACTGAAATACATTGGAGAATGGGCTATGTTATTTTCTCATGAACTTTGCTTGGTATGTAGAGCAAATTAAAAATCCATGAACTTTGTAATTTCGATGACAGATGTTGACCTGAGGTGCATGTCCAAAATAGTTTAATACAAACTTTGTTTTGAATATATTATATTAAAATTTTAAAGCTTTTCATTTTATTTTCATTTATCTTTTGTAACAAAGTTAGAACACAATTGAAATTCTGAAAATTAAAAATTTCAACTTTGTTCATTTCTCCCCTGCCATATATATTGCCATTTTATACACATGCACATATGTATATAAAATCTACAGTTTATCAGTTTACTTGTTTCCTTAGATTTAAACTTTTTGGCAGCAACACAGTTCTTATTTCTCTTAAATTATTAAAGAAAATATTCATATGCTCAATTCTGTGATGGAGACATAAAATCTCTCCAGTTCATAGGATTTTGAGGGAGGCTAAATCAAATAATGTATATACATTGCTTAGCACCAAGGATAAAGTAAAATCAATAATGTGTAAATTAGCTATATTATTATATGTTATTATCCCATGATATGCATATTGTTCCAAATATTCACCTCTTTTGGAAAATCTTCCTGTGTGAAAGAGAAATGTGAAATGAAGGGTCATGTAGTAAATGTTCTGTTTCGAAGAAGCTGCTTATAAAATATATATACCCATTACATGAGGTCTTCTTGTACTGAAGTGGTTTTATTTCTAGTATGTATTTTCAAATCATAGTTGGTATAATTTAAGGCCAAACAGAAAGCAACATGAAACACAACTGAATTTCCAAATTGCTGTTTTTGTTATATTTAATTATGAAGTAAGATTGAGGGTAGAAAGGCATATTCTGCTAATATGATAGACTGGATTCATTAAAAAAACTGTAAAACGTAAAGATGATTTTTGTATTACTATCCATCCATCCATACACACACACACTGAATTTTAGAATTGAGATAAATACATAAAATTATAACAATATGTCTAGATATGTAACAATAAAATGGGGAGTGCACAGCGCTGGTTCTGATTTATAAATGTTACTGCAGTGGTTTCCAGAACAACTCAGTAGCTGCAGAGGGGGTAAGTCAGACGTAGGGAGCATGTAGAAACACCACCCTAAAAAGAATAACTTAGTTCTAGTTGTTCAGATTTCTTGGGGGAATATTCTAAATAACATTTTTGTAAGATGTAAGGCACAATAAGTTTATTTGATGGAAAATCACTAATTTCATTGTTTATTAACTTTAATATCAATGTTTTCCATGTTGATTTTCATTCAAATGTATTTTGTTTTATGATACAACATTTTCCTTGAACATTTCTTATTTTGTGACATGTAGAATATTTAATTATGTTTTGTATTTATCCATTCATTTACTGAAGAGCCTTTTGTTTGCTTCCAATTTTTGGCAATTAAGTTGTTATAACTATCCATATACAAGTTTTTGGATAGACATGAGTTTTCAACTGCTTTTAGTTTTCAACTCCAATGAACATGATTGATGGATAATGTGATAAGAGTGTATTTAGTTTTGTAAGAAAGTAACAAGCTAGCTACCAAAGTAGCTCTACCATTTTTCATTCCCACCATCAATGGATGAGTTTCCATTGCTCGGCATCCTCACCTGTATTTGATGATTTTGGCCTTTTAATAGGTGGGTAGTGATATATGATTGCTGTTTTAATTTGCATTGAAATATCATTTCTTTGCCATCTCTATATCTTTTCTCGGTGAGGTGCCTGCTAAAGTCTTTGGCCCATTTTTGAATGGGGTTGTTTATTTTTTTTATTGTTGAGGTTTAAGAGTTCTTTGTACACTTTGCATCAGAGTCCTTTAGAAGACAAATCCTTTGTAAATATTTTCTCTCTACTTGTGGCTTATTTCCTCATTCTTTTGACTTTGTTTTTCACAGAGCAGAGTTTTTAACTTGAACAAAGTCCAGCTTATCCATCATTTTCTCATGCCTTTGGGGTGTATCTAAAAAGGTATCACCATATCCAAGGCTGTCTAGGTTTTTTCCTACGATATCTTCTAGAAGTCTTGCAATATTTCATTTTACTTTTAGGTTTGGAGTTAGTATTTGGTTGGAGCGATGGCCTGTGTCTAGATTCTTTTTTTTTTCTTTTTGCAAGTGGATATTCAGTTGTTTCCAAACCATTTGACAAAAAGTCCGTCTTTGCCCCATTGTATTGTCTTTCCTCCTTTGTCAAAGATCAGTTAACGGTATTTATGGGAGTCTATTTTTTGAATCTCTATTCTGTTTCATTAATTTATCTGTCTATTCCTTCATACCACTTTAAGTGCTGTAGCTTTGTAGTAAATCTTGACATTAAGTCATGTCAGCACTCCAGGTCTGCTCTCCTTTAATATTGTGCTGGTTACTCTGGGTCTTTTAATTCTCCATAAAGACTTTAGAATCAGTTGCCAAGATTACAAAGTAATACTGAGGTTTTGATTGGCAATGTATTGGATACATAAATGAAGTTGAGTTTTCCTAGCCATAAACATGGGGTATCTCTCCTTGATCATTTTTCTTTTCAATCTGTGTTCAGTGTTAAGATAAGGTAAGGAGAAATGCAAGATGTTTCAGAGTATCCAGCTACATTTAACCAGAAACCATGCTGATAATTTTTTTCATTGTTGCTTTCTTCTGTAGATTGTCTTTGAGTATTCTGGGGTAAGAAATTCTCAAAATCCCATATATAAAGGGTTTTTAAAAATAAGATTTCAAAAGGGAAACGGAGATTCAGGTATGTATATGCACATATAAAACAATATAAATATATAAGACTATGTATACATAAATAATATATAATCATAGATATATTCATGAATAGTAATCACAGAAAGTCAATGCTGAGCCCAACCAAGCCCTTCACCTTTTGAAATTATATTCCTTTTCAGGGTTATGATCTAATTAAGTAATGAAAGACTTTCCATTCTGCGACCACCAATTTTCCTTCTAATATCTCAATTTATTCACCAACCATGATGAAATAAAAGGCCAAAAAAAGTTAGATTCTGAAATAATACCACCTTTGCTGTTATTATTATTAACAGTAAATTAGAAAGGCAAGATAATAAAGAGTCAAGCCAGGTCATCATGATTTCATGTGTTCATAACTACTTTGTTTACAAAGCTTATTACTTGAATATATGCCACTAATGACTGAGATCTCAGAAGTCAAGTTTTTCATTTGTTTTTTAAATGAAAAGTGCTATAGCCAATATTTCTCAATTCATATCATTCATTAAATATTCTTGTTTCATGATTCTGTTCTTATGGTTTGTCTTTACCAACTACCAAAATATAACTTTTTCTATTCTTTAACCTCTAAAATCTCTCAATAAAACTAAGTCATTTTCTATTATAACCCATCTCCAAAACTTTTAGTTCTATAGTCTATATTTTTTGGTAGACCTATTTGCTACAAATCTTTTTAAAGTATCTTTTCTTGCTATCTTTGCTTTCTATCTTGGCTTTTCCACTTTCTATAAATGTAATGGGGAAATGGCAACCTCAGGAACTGAGAAAATCTAGTTAATGAATGGGAATGGAATGGAAAAGTATACTTTTTAACCTTTATTCATGAAAGTAAGTACAATTTTTGTGAACTGTGTTTTAAAGGTTATAAGATATTGAGACCTGAAAATAATAAGTTTTTTAATGTATCTTACAACTTTCTCTTCTCTTCAAGTACTTTCTTTTATCTTAGATTTTTCTATCCACATTGTGTCTAGTAACTTCTCCACTGATTTCTAAAGTTGTCTTCCACTTCTCATTTTTTATATTGTATTAAAATAACTCACAGTCAAACTTAACTTTATACAAACATTCCAGATAGTGCTAGATTCCCAATGAGTGACAGAAATAAAATTTTAGAATCACAGGTAAAGCTATATGAATTGCTCAAAACATAACTCCTTCCAATGGACTACAAAAACATATTATAACCAAACTCAAGCCATTTCATAGTATTATAAAAAGAGAATTCATTTTTCTTACTTCTATTTCTACAGATTCATGTAGCTTCTTGCAGGTGGCTGAGAAAGTTTCAGATGTGCCAAACTCAAAATACCAAAATTTGTTCTTCATTCTGAAAAAGGAAAGGAACAAGCAGCTTAAGCAATTATCTATAATAGAAGGGATGCTTTAAATGGGGGTAGCCCTGTCTTTTGTTTTAAGTGATAGAAAAGGTTTGAGGACATGTACCTTCCACAATGTAATAGATGGTCACATAATTTTCAAAGCTTAAAAGTTGGTGTCAAATTGTATGATTGCCCCTGAGGGAATTACAGGAATGTATTGATCAGACAGATGCAAGTATATCTTTGACTTTTCTACATATTGGTTGCTCAGATTTTAATATATGATTTTATTGCTTATTATTCTTAGCTTGTTCTTGGACAGCTTCATTTTAGACTAACCACTCATCCAAGAGGAAAAAAAAAACCCTCAGCTTTCCAAGTGGAAAAGAAAAACAAAGTTAAATATGGTATATGTTTCTAAATGGCTATGTATTAAAAAAAATTGGCATTATTGGGTGCTATGTTAAAATTTGTGCCATATTAAAAATTGTGTTTATCCAAAAAGATAAAATTTAGTATTTGGGGGATAACTCTGAACTCTTTCATTAAGCTATTGCCCTCTTTAATATGAACAACAGTGGGAAATTATGATATAGCATAGAACTAAGGATTTAAAATTTTATCACTCTAACAGAAGTTGCAAATAAAATATAATTTAAAATATTTCAGTATTTAATATGGAAGTAAGATCTTCAAAATTTATTTTCCCCCATAACTCATTGAGCATCTTTATTTCTTTGTGATAGTTAATTAAGTTTATGATCATGTAATATAATTTTACAAAGGTTGGCTGGACTTTTATATTACCCAATATTGGATTTAAAAACTCATTCTCCCCCCAAAAAATGCAATTTTTAATCATATGTATTATAATAAGATTACATCATCAATTAGAATAAAATAAGTAAAATGAGATACATGTTTTCACACATAAAGACAAACAGAAAGAAATTATGTTCTGATACTCAAATATGCCTCTCACGTCAAATTATTCTTTTTGACATCAACATTGCTATGTGCCTTTTACATTAGCATGTAAAACACTTCAACAATTAAAAAGACACTTGGCAGTGACCTTCCTACTTAATTAAACTCTATGTACTTATGGAAAATGACAGGGACCTAACACATGCTTATTATTATGTTATATTCAATAGAATTCTCTGATATGACATTAAAAATGATAAAAGTAATCTCACCTACATGCATTCAATAATATTTGGCCTCATGCAAGCTTTTATTAATTTAATAAAAATTTTTCATTTGCTCTTCTTGTATCAATCACATCTTCAGGCCAGTAGTCTGAACACCAGCACAGGTCACTGGACTTTAGCTCTATAAATTCATATTCTTTTCTAAGAGAATATTTTCTATGAGTTATGGCCTGATTTCATATATCTGAATACATAAAAATAGATGATAAGAGTTAGATAGAATTGGGTCAAACATTTAACACCAGGATCTGTGGGCCTGAACCAACATGCAGGTTTATATTAAAATTAATGCAGATATCTATTTTATAGATATACTTTTACAATTTTTTTCACTGGCTAAAGTTAAGTAAAATTAAAAATATTTTTCTCGTGATTCATTATTCTGATGAAAAATTATATCTTTCAGTATACTGAGAGGAAAATATTGTTCTGTATGAGGTGGTCTCAAAACAACCTTAGGGTAATAATTAGGAGACTTTTTATGACTGGAACTGTTTGGTATATTTATCAGGTTTCCTAACAACATTGATTTTTGTTGGAACATTATCCAGACCTTTTTGAGTTCATTTATTCACACATTCATTCATTTAGCAAATGTTTAGTAAGAATATTCACTTCCACATATTACTATGTTTAGTGCTAAAAATACAAATATAAATGTAATTATCTTTATCTACAAGGAACTCAGAATGTTATAAGATTATGGGCATATAAAATAATTAAAAAATGTAATCCCTAAAAGAAATATGAGCTACATATTGTGAGAAAACACTTGAAGGAATCAACCACTTTCACTGTAGGGAGTCCAGAGAGCTTTAGACGAGGTGATATTTTAATACATAATTAAATTAATTTATTTTATTAATAATAAAATAAAATTATCTATTTTAATAGATAATTAGAAGAAGGCACACAGGAAGAAGATGAAACAAGTTCTGGGCATTTATAGGAGTACAATAACAAGAGAATGCTGATTGCAAGCTAACAAGGGTGTGCTTCACAACATGTAGGCCACGTGAAGGGGTTTGGATTTGAAATTATTGATTAATAGGATGCTGACAGAAGTTTATTAGCAGTGGAGTGACATGATCAGCTTTGTTACATGGGTAAATAAGTCTAACAAAAATTAATAAATAGGCTGGAATGTTGAAATGCTGATATCGTGGACAGAAATGTGGTTGTTGGAATAGTACAAATGGAATATAATTAAAGGCCTAAATCAAGTAGGGAAATGAAGAAGAGACTCTCAAGAGACAACATAATGTGGAACCAATAGGAACTGGTGATTTTAGGAAGTACTCTGGAAGCATACCTAGAATACCTGAGCATTACTCCAGCAAAAGAAGGGCTATGAACTTATATTTTGACAGGTTCTGGGACCTAATGTATATTGTATTGCAGTTTAAAAGCTAAATATAAATATGAGGCTTTTGATTCTATATTACTCCCTATTTTTTTCTCATTTTATCCATCGAAGTTCTCTATTGCTTAGTTAAGATGATGAGAAGTTATATCAGCTAACCAAGATAGACCTTAGTAAACACAAGAAACAGAAATTCTGAGAATTTACATTCAGCTTTTATTCACATTAGTTAGCATTACTGCTCATGTGCAAAAGCTATTTTAAATTCTCCATTATTACAACCATTTTATGCTTCACTTAGGTAAATATATAGAGGTTATAAAAAGCACATAGAATCAGATTCCACATGACAAATTAAAAGCTGTTAAATTTTATTTTTTTAACCCAACTGGTCTTTAGGTTGTAGAAATGGAAAAAAAAAAACACACATTTAAGCATGTATGCTATTTATTTTTATGGCTCACATTAGAAAATGATCCAAATAATTCAAACTCAAATTTGTCAGAGAAAACATATAGCTTTGAACTTTAAAAATAAGAAAACTGGACATTTAAACTACTGTGAAATGTTCAAATCAAAGTCTTACTTATTGTATTCATAGACAGGCTTTGTGATTGGTATAATGACAAATGTCCTACCAAGAAAAAGTTTCTCATACTATTATAATTTAAGCAATTTACATATTAAACCCTATTTCAGTGAATTTAAGTGTAAGTCTACATGTGTCAGTTTAATATTTAAAGGGCTTGCCTACCAGAAATACAGGTAAAAATGAATAAATTAACTAATAATATTTACCAGGCATTTTCTTGACTCTTTTACATATCCTCAGGGAAATATGAACTACTTGGAGATTTTTGCTCAAGGAAAAAATCATTCTTGTCATGAAATCTAGTTAATATATAGTTCTCCAAGCTCTGAACTTTCAAATAAGTAATTTATTTTCTATGAAGTATTTTCCTTTGAATTTTTTGTCCTGGTTTACATGTTTTATGTTTTAGCTTTTGTCTACTAAGTAATTTTAACACAGCAAACAAAACAAAACAAATAAAACACAATTGGTAGAGCATTTCCCCCAAAATACCAAAAAAAAAAAAAACCTAATTAGATATGAAGCTCATTATGAAGGTGCAACGTACAGAGAGGGTGAAATTGCCTCATTTATCTTACAGGAGAAAGATCAAAAGTCATAAACACAGAAAGTTATAATTCAGTGAAATTACTCTTAAATTAAAGGTCAACTTTCTCCTAGGTGTGTTTCTTTTATTATTTTATGTATTTAGTGACAATATAGAAAGGCCATTTAATATGTATGGCTAAAAAAATCTTCTGTTAGACTCTTGAATCCATTTTTAAGCATCCTGAACTAAGCAATCCTATCTACACTGTATGGATAACATGCTCATCACATGAGAAAATAAAATGCTTTTTACTCTTTGCTTTTTAAGTGACAGAAAAACAATGTCTTAAGTATCTTAGTTAAAATACATATATCCATTTTAAATCCATATATACATATGTATATATTTAAATATAGATTATATATATATCATGATTCTCACCCAAGGATATGTTTTTGTTGATTTTAGAGAGAGAAGAACAGGGATGGGCAGAGAGAGAGAGAAAAACATTGATGTGAGAAAAACATCCACTGGTTGCCTCCCATACACTCCCCCACCAGGAAATGGCCCTGAAACCTTTAGGTGTGCGGGACGACACTCCCAATCAACTGAGCTAACCAGCCAGGATTAAAATGAGTATTTTTTTTACTTCTTAAGATGTTTCAAAAATCTCATCTCTTTCACTAGCTCTCTTTCACTTCTGCCCTGTTATGAAAGTATTTCAACTGTCATCATTTTGTTGTAGAGAACAATGTTTCTAACAATTCAATAACTTTATTTTAATAATAAAATTTAGTCTCACAATTTGATTGAATGTCCTAGAAACATAGTCCGCGTTTTAAACTTAGCTAACAATGTTGGTGATGAGAAACATGGCACAGGTGACTTACAGCACTAGATTAAGTGTTTAAAGTGGTACAGTTATATCATAGAATCAGTTCAGTTTTATTTGTTTTTCATTGTCAAGAGACATTACACTAAACATCAGATATAGGGTTACTCATTTATTTTTAAATGTAGTTCAGTATCACTTTTAAAAACACACAACTAATCAAGTGACAGGGCTGGGCTGGGACTTGATTTCACCAGTGGATGAGCACTGCAGCCCAAGGAAGAAGCATTCACAGGGTAGTGGCGCGTTGGCAGGCCTGCGGGGACTTGGCGCAACACCCAGAGGTTAGTACAGGAGTAAAGGCGGGGACGCTTGTAGTTTATGTTGTTTGTCACCTCTTGAAATTTACTATAAATTGTATGTCATCTGTATGGATTGTAGTAATAGACATTTTTAAAGAACTAAGCCCAGACCCAAC